GGCTGTCACGCAGTTTCCGTTCAGAATTGTTTTGTGTATGCAATGATTTATCATTGATTTCAAATGTAACTATAATAATAATTAATAGTGACCAACTTAATGGTGAGGAATACACGGTACCTATTTTACAGTAAAACGACTTGATCGGTTTTTTTTTATTGAATTACATTACAACAATGGTTTAAACTATTCAATACAAATAAGTCATGAATATCTCTATTTTTTTCAAACGCATGTTGTTGACTCTGGTTTCTTACTTTTTAATGAGCAAATCAGAACCAATCTTTCATAAATACCAACTAGATTCAATTCTCAACAATGGTCTATGAGGAGGGGGGTTGATGCAGAACGATCAATACCTACTCATTTTTTAGTTTTTCATACCACTACTTATTTTTCCACAATGACAAATCATTCCCTGATAAATTGTAATTTTAAACTTTATAGTTACGTATATGCGTTGTGGCAGGGTTATTCAAAATGATTCATCCGATTTCAAATGTCTATATTTTTAGTTTTTAGATTTAGAGTAAATCTCTACATTAAACAAAATAACAATATTTCATATTTATTTAATGCGGTAGGTACCTTTTCATTTTGTTCTATGCATTCCTTGATCACATTTACAACGTATAGTTGGAACTCAAATTCATTCCATATAAATATCCATTGTAATTGACTCCGATATTTTTTTAGATCCTATAATATTATGATTGATAATAATGGTGGTACAATGTGTACACAGTATTTTTAACATAATATCCCCAAAGTGAAATAGCCACATGGGATATATCGTATATCAGGTCACCTAAGAAGCAAAGTTAAATTAATAATTTTAAATAATTCTATATAATATCACAATTTACTTAGAAACCTATAGTTGCAATAAAATCAAAAAATAACATAATATGCATATGGTGTGGATCTAGAAATCTGAAATGGTGGGAGGGGTCTACATTTTTCCATAAAAAATACAACAAAATGTTAGTAGCTACATAATAGATTACAAATAAAATTATAGATAAGATTTGATAACAATATCAATATTTTTATTTATATAATAAAATTATGGATTTTAAGACGTATAAGCTATTTATTATAAAAATAAATAGATAATATTTAACATTTCCAAAGTGAGAGGGCTAAGGCCCCTTAGCCCCCATTGTATCCACGCCGGTACGTGTTTCAAATAGAACAGCATATTTATTATATACTTTTTTTAAATCCGGGACTGAAACCGAACCGAAAAAAACCGGTTCTGGAACCCAAAAACCCATAAAAATATTGAGAACTAGAACCTAACCGGAATCGAAATTAAATATTTTAAAATAACCGGAACCGTAAAAACTAAAAGGTACCAGTCCCTGATTTTAATACATATTTATTGGTTTTCTATTGATCGATAAAACATTATGAATCTTTTGAAAAATATATTCTGTAAAAAAAAAAACATTTTTAGCCAAAACATAGGTAACTTGTATCTTGCTCTACTCAGTACTCTGTAGTATAAAAATAGTTGAAAATACTTTTATGACATTTATTTTTCATAATAATAACTTATTATGATGATAAAAGATAAAACTAACTGTGTAAGTTTTCATAATCAGAGGTGGACCCAGGGTGTCTAGAGGCCCAGCCCTCCAAGATTATTATGAGTGCTTATTACTGGATACTATCATCGAATATAAATACTACAAATACTGTCTTTATAATCATTTTATAACTTATATAGATTAAGTACAATAAAATTGAGGGTCTCCGGTTTGAACCCCGGCCACGGGTGGCACTTCTCTCCGGGCAGTCACGGTGTCTGGAGAATGAGGCCCACCCAGGCATGCCATAGATGCCTACCTACGGGTGCCCACTTTAAAATTCTGCCAAACTAAAACACACTTGTTTAAAACCTACAGTACTCTCCCCCATAGTTAAAAACCACCCAATGGCCTAAGTTTCAGAGGGTTAATTAATGAAAAAAAAAAAAAAAAATTGATTAAACACACTTTTTGTCGTAGCAGGAATGGTTCCTGAAGCTATCCAAAATGAATGTGAACATTGCACTGAATTACAAAGAAAAGTGATTGAAAAAATGATGTGCTACCTGAATAATCACCAACCGGATATATTAAAAGAAGTAGCTGCCAAATTTGACCCAAATGGAGAATATATGAAGCAATATATTAATACCATAGAGAAGAATGGAAATGAACAGTTCTTGAATCCAAATTTACTTCAATACCAACCACAGCAAAATTCAAATCAACCACAACATAATCCAAACCAACCACAACAGAACCCAAACCAACCACAACAGGACCCAAACCAACCGCATCAACATCAACATCAAAACCAATACCATCCACAACAAAATCTACACCAGCCACAACAAAATCAACACCAACCACAGCCCAATCCAAACCAACCACAGCAACATCCAAACCATTCACAGCAACATCTAAACCCACCTCAGCAACATCAAAATCAATACCAACCACAACAAAATCCAAATCAACCACAGCAACAGCAACATCAACATCAACATCAACACCAATCACAACAATATCAAAACCAACCACAACAACATCAACATGAACAACAATTAAAAGGAACGGTAATAACAACGGCACCTATATCTACGGTACCCAGGAAACCTTGACTCTAACTGTTCAAATTATGATTGTGTATTTGTCTACGAATTAGAGTTAAAATTACTGTTATTTATCCCACAAGGCAATTACAAACTAAATGAGTAAAAAAATATATGTAATAACGGTTATTTTTTTCAGTCATATTATTATTTACAAGTCAAACTCTATGATTATATTTAAAAAAAAGATGAATTCATATTTATGTTAATAAACATATACTTGCGTAAATATTGAAAATAGAAAAATATATTTTATAATTAATTTATTATTGTTACAATATTACCTATATGATGCAATAAATTGTGGTATGATGCGTAGTTTTGTACAAAAACATAGTTTATGTTATGTTAATTAATAAATCGTATATACATAATATTACCTATTTTAAATAAATTACAATTCTAAAAACAAAAACAAGATTTTAATCAATTCATTTATCTGAATTTTATATTAATGTGGTTTATAATAGATAATGACTGCTGTAATAAATAGTTAAAATATATATATATATATATATTTGGCTTTAATAAACTAAAAACAGTAAAATTAAAAAAAAATATTTTTATATAATTTTAATAAATTATATTACCTACTATTATATATTATTTAAACAATAAATATAATATAAGTTTTTAAGTTATTATATTTTTATCAAATAACTAGTAAGCCTCCTCAGGTGGTTACCCCTACCTGGGTAATTTTAAATAAAATAATAAATCTGAACCGTTGATTACTGTTTTATACCGAATAAAAGAATTATCTGTTGCATAATTCATTATTTATTTTTCATATAGATAGATAGATTGAGATGCGAATTATTACTCTTATAAATAAAATTATTTTTATGAAGTTATGCAATTAATAATAAATATATCACATTGCATACATAATACTCAAGGAATTCAGCTACTATGTTTTACATAGTTTTGCTTGGATCTATCTGAAGTTCCTTGAACATATAATGGTTCAATGATATTTCAATGGACAGTGCACTGAATGATTTGTGTTTTTATTTTTGCGTTTTCTGTTCATGACTGGTTTTGTGTAGTTGTTTTATTTATTTACGTTTGCTGTACCATATGCACCATTATAAAAATATATATTTTAAATCGGAATGTAAATTCATTTAACGATTGAAACCAACATTGCGTTATAATATTATTATTTCAAATAGCATTTTGAAATTTGTTATTTGATATTTTAAATATCTCATGTACTTGTTTGACTTGTAAGTTGTAAACAACTTATATAGGTGTGTAATGGTATATATTATACACCTTATGTTTATTTATATATCTTAAACACAGTTTTCTGTAAACAAGCAAACATACTTTGGATAAAATAATCGAACTATTAAACAGAGTCGTAGAAGTATAGTTATTGTAAAAGTATCCATAGTTGCCTTGGAAACTGTTTGATATCGGACCGAATCACAATTTAATACCATATCCTTGATTGTTATAGTATACTTAATATTATAGATCTCTGAATCTTAATTTTTTTCTATTACTTCAGTAAATAATAATTGTTTACACAAATACATTCACAAGTTATAGATGAATACTTTATTAAGTATTTAAATTATTAAAAAAAAATATATATAATTATATTGTATTTTTATAATTCATATAATTATTTAAAATAAAAGTTGTTTAAGTGTATATGATTTATAATTTGGACATAATTAATAATATGTATAACGATCAACTCTTCATAATAAATATACATTTTCGCTGAGATTAAATTTTAGGTATTTTTTGAATAACTATAAACATTTTAACTATTTAAAGTATTTATTTAAAAAAATGACTAAATGTTTTGAAGAACTAATTAAGTAGAAACCTAGGCAAACCTCTATGTCAAGGTTTTATTAAAATTTCGTTCACAAAATCAATACTTTACTTTACAGTTTATATGATATTTTTTATAATGTAAATATAATTTTTTAATGACATTCGCGATTGAACTCAATATTTCTGAATGGCTAGCGACCGAATACACAAAGTAGAAGTTGATATATAATTATGTATGTTAGCTATCGCTATAACGTCGGGAGATGAGCGGGTGAAATTAAAAACAGCAATCTGGCGTCCATGTTTGCGCAGGATGACGGTGCCCTTGAGATGTGCACGTTTTTTTTTATTACGTTTCCGTTTCGCGTCCAACAACAACAGACGTTCTTAAGTGCGAATCGGTTAAACATCGGTCGATCCGTTACTTTTATACTAAATCCCACGTTAAACAGTCGTAACACCTTTATACGTGTACAAATTGGTCTAATAAAATAAAAATAAAAATAAATTGTGTTTATTTGTTCGGTTTCATAGACGGCTTAATGTAACTACAACAGTACACATGAATTTGTTAGCGATTTTTTGTTATATAACCATGATGTGTGACTCTCAATTTAGGCGACTTGAGCAACCGACTGCGATCCCTCAAGTCAAGCGAATTGAGCAACCGGCTACTATTGCAACACGGATCGGACAGGCTACGATCGCACCTAGGTTCGGACAGCCTACGATCGCACCTCGGTTCGGACAGGCTACGGTCGCACCTCAGGTAGGAGAGGCTGCGATCGGTCCTCGGATCCGCCAAAGTTTTCAGAGTGTCAATAACAGCGTGTCACCAACTATCGATGGACGTAAGACCACCAGAGAAACGTCTTCATATCCAACTCGATACGATTTCATTGATATTGAAGCTGTTATGAACAATGAACGAATCATAAAAATTCTCTTCAATTGTGTTATGAACCAAGGACCGTGTACCAGAGAGGGTTTGGAGCTCAAAAGTAAGCCCTTGATAATATGAATAAGTACCGTTTTTTATACAATATATATATATTCAACGGTATAAATTGTGTAACGTCCATAATTCATATAGGATTACTCTGTACCTAGTTATAGAATAGGCTGAATAATTCCGAAAGAGTTGACGAAATTTATATTCATACTTAATAGTAATCATTCTTATTGTTAAGTATTTTATCAGTCTTAATACATGTTTTGAAAAACTATTTCATAAAATTTTCATATTATTTTACTTTGACGAATACGTTGAACTGGGATTTAGATGAATATAGTAGGTACCTAATTATATGATGTTAAATTATTAATTATGGTATAGAACCAAAATTATTGAATTTATGTTATTTTTTATGTCAAAAAATGTCAAATTATCGTTTTCTGATAAAAACCAAAATCGGTTATTATATACTTTTTATTTTACAAAGAATTCAAGGTTTCTTTTTAATATATTATGAAATTGTTGTATACAGGTTTAAGGTAATATACTAATATTATATATAAATAAATAAATAAATAAATTCACCATATTAATAATGTTTATTACACAATAATATAATATAGTAGGTATAATATAAAGTATAAGTAATAAATTCAAAAAAAATTTATTTATATTTACATAATATTTGAATATTTTTTCGTTCAATAAATACCTAATAACAGTTTCAATAATACCTACAGTTATAATAGTACTAATAAAAGTAGGGGAATAATCACTATAGATAGTACTAACTACCAATTTTAATTAATATTTTATGATGTATCCATTTTTTAAACCAGAATATACAAATAATCTATTAGAAAAGAATGAAAAAAGCAAAAATTTACTATTAAATAAATGAAAAATAAATATACAATTAAATGACGAACGTGTTTTCTAATAATAAGTACCTATATATAATAAAAACTAAAAAGAAAACTACCAGAACTACAAATTCTGTACTTGTCTAACTCCTCAGTAAAGTAGCACACTAAAGCATATGCATCTTAGTTTTTGTTATTTATGCGGTTCTAATATCCTTATAATAAAAATCAATTTATCTGTGGGTACGTCATTAAAAGCTTTTCCAGTATTATGACCATTATAGTTTTTATGTTCACGAAGGAAACTTATGTGACTTAATTTTAATTATTTTCACTATAATAAACTTATATAAATACTCAACGATTCAGTATCTGAAATAAAAAAAAAAATATTTTATTTTTTTAAATTTATATTTAATCTTATAGAGGAAGACTTCCAAGTATGTACCTATTCGAATATGAATACGTTCAAAGCAATATATATTTGATTTATTTGATAAATTATGTTAATCATTAACCAAAGATAATGTTTACTTCCGCATTAGTCATGTATACTTAACATTATCAGATAATCATATTGAGTAATGTTGTAATACGAACAAATGCAATCGACACATTTAATTAAATGATGATATATTTTGTTTATTATTTATTATTATTATTTGCAATAAACTTTTAATCAATTTATTTTATGTATATAAATTTATCTAAATAAAACTGGTCAAGAGTTAAAGAGTTGGGTCTTAACGTTAATTTTTTATTTACATTAATTGTATGAAACGTTAAGAAATCAATTATAAATATATGTTTTGTACACAAATAATAATATTTTTTCTTTTTATAGAAATTAAAAAAACCCAATTAGACACAAAATTATAAATTAAAAAAAATATTCAGAAAACAGTAATTGAAAAACTACAAATAAATTAAAAATAAATAAATAAATTGCGTTTGTTATAATTTTTTTTTATTTGTCTGTGTTCTGTAATGAATATTTTTTTAAAAATAAGATTATTTGGATTATTACTGACCTTGGAAAAATCTTGGCTCATAATACAACTTTTATTTATTTATCGTGGTCCAAGAACTATATATAGGTAGATACATAAATAATGTCTACCATGTTTTTCATTATTTTTCAACCAATATTTTTCTGAATAAGATTTTATATTTTTATATTTTATAGAAACATTTATTTCTTTTTATGGTATACTTATGCTTAAACTAAAAACAAAATTCGTTTTCGTAAAATTTATAAATTAGTACCTATGCCTAATTTTTCCAAATAAACTAAAAGTTAAAATATCAAATTCCATTTATTAATAGATATAAGTATATTGTATGGGATTGCGAATTTACAATATTATAACAAATGACAATTATAATACTGTAAAAACAATTATTGTATTCATTATATTTATTAGTTTAAAAAATTTAAAAATTATTTATTTATTTTGAAGTTTGATGAGTAAACAAAAAAGTATACTGACATAAGTAGAATTATAATAAGCAAAAGTATGAATTTAAATGTAATTTTACGTCATTTTTATTCAATTTTTCTGAATAGACATGGGAATTAAAAAAAATTAAAACGCATTAAATGGTAATTTAGGTTCAATCTTGATTTTTAAAAAAAATTTTAATTCACAACCTATTTAATTAAAATGCTAATGTTATACTAGTTAAAATTAAATTTCAGTTCAATTGTTATATAATGGATATAATATTAGTAATTTGCAGATACTTCCTCCATATTTAAACATTATAAGTAATAATTATAAGTATAATTATAAGCACTAAGATTGTTTTATTTTGAACATATAAAACTACCCGTAAAACAAAACATATTAAAATTAATTTATGGATACAATATACAGGCTTTCTGTACGTAACTACGTATTCGTGTTTTCTTAAAAATATATATTGTGTTTAATATTTATAATTATAAATAATGTTGTACGCCTTACGCTTATACTTATGAGTTATGAGTTAAGAAATATGAATGCAAATACACATAGTTATAAAAATATACTGCAATTTAATCAAAAACTATAAACATTTTTTTGGATATATACAATAATTTGTTGTTCATTATATACCTACCTACTAATAAGGCATTTCGAAGTTATTTTATACAAGCTCATAAGTACATAATATTATGTTGTATAATCTAATACATTTAACATTTATTGATAAAATAGGGTAGAATTATCGAATTTTCCCAGTTGAAAATTATTGATTGATAACTAATAGGTATCATTGTATCAATATTAATTTAAATATAATATGAACTGTTTTTGAAAAATATAGAATACACATATATTACAAAAAAATCAATTATAGAGTTTTTGAAAATATTTATTTATTACTAGCTGATCCCGTTCACTTCGTTGCCCGTTAAATGTATCAACTCTATATGACTCAAACTTTGTTCAATTCGTTATTTAATATTTGGTGTATGGTATTCAAAATGTATCTTAACTTTTCCGTTGCCCGGAATCACAATTCTGATTCGCAGCAGTACATTATCAGGTAGGCAATCTACCTGCGGTAGATCCGGACCCCGTGCTGTTTGTACGTAAGTGTATGATTTAACTCTAAAGTATCAAAGTTATACCAAGTTTGTCGTTTTTCCTAAATTCCACCTAAGGTGGATTAATATAATCCGTACTAAAATCCGATGAATAAAAAAGAAACAAAATAACCCTTTGTAAATTAACCTATCTTCTTCCCAGAGGTCTAATCTACCCACCAACATTAATTTATATATTTATATATATATACAAATACACAGGCTATAACTATACAGACTAAAGTCTGGAACTACTTATCAAATCTTCTTGTATATATTATATATATGTATATTGACAAATGATAATAATACAAATCAACAAACTGAACAAACTGTAGGTATATAAGGTAATACAATATTTTTACATCGTAACTTTAAGTTTTTTAAAGATAACAGACATTTTTAATTTCATATTCTATAATCTAGTGCAATTAAAAAAATGTTTTGAAAAATAATCGTGCCTATCATTGTATTTACAAATATAATATTAACTAGCTAAATTAACAACTTAGATGTATTAAATTTTTAAGCTTTTTGAACTAACCTTAATATTATTTATCAAAACTTAAAAAAAACATTTCAAAAATATTAAATGCTTATAAATAGTTTAAATGATGTCCTTTTAAAAGTTTAAAGAAGCGTCGGCGATACCTGAGGGGGAAAAAAAGGTACGAATATTTTGAAAGTTGTATTAAGTAAAGAAAATAATAATTTAAATAATAGTGGAATTTTTTAACGTTCTACGATTAATACTTTTTGAATTAGGTTCAATAACAAAACTAAAATCGTTATTTTACTAGTGAAGATCAAAATTCGTCAACATTTAAACTTCAGAAGCCCATAAAAATTATTTGGGGAATTACACCAAATTTTTTTTTGTGTCAGTAATAACTTATGAGAAAACTTGTATTACATTTTTTAAACTTAGATATGAATATTAAAAATAGGAAAATTAGGTAACGCTCTGCTGGTATCTAGTGTACCTCGTCATTAAGTAAGTTACCGAAATGTATGTGTTAAATTTAAATTCAATGAAAAATCATTGCAAAGGATAAATGATTCTGAGTGAGACGGTCTATATCAGGCATTACCTATATCATTAAACAAGTATATTTCATGATGAAATTATGTTTTTTGGTATTGTATAATATAGTAAATTAGTAATTAATTTTATTATTAGGTAATTATTAGTAATACGGTAGGTTAAATTAATTTTTGTCAACAGTTTAACACTTATAAATATATTAAATTAATATTAAATTATTTTAATAGTATACATTATATTATATTTATTCTATATGTATGGTTATTAACTTTTGAGTCGATACTTGCAGAAGAACGGTGTGAACTGTGAATAGGTTCCTATTATAAATGGGTAATAGCATAAAATTAATCAAGATGTTTCGACAAAGTAATTGTGTATAATATAAAATAAAATAATGTAGGTACTTAAAAATTTGAAGTCCACATGAATAATAATTTTTAATTACAACAAAATAACTAAAGCCTTCATTTTTCTTTTAAACACACAATTTAGTCATAATTTTAACTTAAAATATTTATGAATAAAACCCGCGCCTATGTATCTTTATTACTTTTAAATAAATATAAATATAGAACAACAACTTATG